TCACAATGGCCGTGTTGGTGGTGTTTACAATGGCCGTGTTGGTGGTGTTTACAATGGCCGTGTTGGTGGTGTTAACAATGGCCATGTTGGTGGTGTTAACAATGGCCGTGTTGGTGGTGTTTACAATGGCCGTGTTGGTGGTGTTTACAATGGCCGTGTTGGTGGTGTTTACAATGGTCGTGTTGGTGGTGTTCACAATGGCCGTGTTGGTGGTGTTCACAATGGCCGTGTTGGTGGTGTTCACAATGGCCGTGTTGGTGGTGTTTACAATGGCCGTGTTGGTGGTGTTTACAATGGCCGTGTTGGTGGTGTTCCCAATGGCCGTGTTGGTGGTGTTAACAATGGCCGTGTTGGTGGTGTTCACAATGGCCATGTTGGTGGTGTTCACAATGGCGGTGTTGGTGGTGTTTACAATGGCCGTGTTGGTGGTGTTTACAATGGCCGTGTTGGTGGTGTTAACAATGGCCATGTTGGTGGTGTTAACAATGGCCGTGTTGGTGGTGTTCACTATGGCCGTGTTGGTGGTGTTCACAATGGCCGTGTTGGTGGTGTTTACAATGGCCGTGTTGGTGGTGTTTACAATGGCCGTGTTGGTGGTGTTTACAATGGTCGTGTTGGTGGTGTTCACAATGGCCGTGTTGGTGGTGTTCACAATGGCCGTGTTGGTGGTGTTTACAATGGCCGTGTTGGTGGTGTTTACAATGGCCGTGTTGGTGGTGTTTACAATGGTCATGTTGGTGGTGTTCACAATGGCCGTGTTGGTGGTGTTCACAATGGCCGTGTTGGTGGTGTTCACAATGGCCGTGTTGGTGGTGTTCACAATGGCCGTGTTGGTGGTGTTCACAATGGCCGTGTTGGTGGTGTTTACAATGGCCGTGTTGGTGGTGTTTACAATGGCCGTGTTGGTGGTGTTCACAATGGCCGTGTTGGTGGTGTTAACAATGGCCATGTTGGTGGTGTTCACAATGGCCATGTTGGTGGTGTTCACAATGGCCGTGTTGGTGGTGTTTACAATGGCCGTGTTGGTGGTGTTTACAATGGCCGTGTTGGTGGTGTTAACAATGGCCATGTTGGTGGTGTTCACAATGGCCGTGTTGGTGGTGTTTACAATGGCCGTGTTGGTGGTGTTTACAATGGCCGTGTTGGTGGTGTTTACAATGGTCGTGTTGGTGGTGTTCACAATGGCCGTGTTGGTGGTGTTCACAATGGCCGTGTTGGTGGTGTTTACAATGGCCGTGTTGGTGGTGTTTACAATGGCCGTGTTGGTGGTGTTCCCAATGGCCGTGTTGGTGGTGTTAACAATGGCCATGTTGGTGGTGTTCACAATGGCCATGTTGGTGGTGTTCACAATGGCGGTGTTGGTGGTGTTTACAATGGCCGTGTTGGTGGTGTTTACAATGGCCGTGTTGGTGGTGTTAACAATGGCCATGTTGGTGGTGTTCACAATGGCCGTGTTGGTGGTGTTTACAATGGCCGTGTTGGTGGTGTTTACAATGGCCGTGTTGGTGGTGTTCACTATGGCCGTGTTGGTGGTGTTCACAATGGCCGTGTTGGTGGTGTTTACAATGGCCGTGTTGGTGGTGTTTACAATGGCCGTGTTGGTGGTGTTTACAATGGTCGTGTTGGTGGTGTTCACAATGGCCGTGTTGGTGGTGTTCACAATGGCCGTGTTGGTGGTGTTTACAATGGCCGTGTTGGTGGTGTTTACAATGGCCGTGTTGGTGGTGTTTACAATGGTCATGTTGGTGGTGTTCACAATGGCCGTGTTGGTGGTGTTCACAATGGCCGTGTTGGTGGTGTTCACTATGGCCGTGTTGGTGGTGTTCACAATGGCCGTGTTGGTGGTGTTCACAATGGCCGTGTTGGTGGTGTTTACAATGGCCGTGTTGGTGGTGTTTACAATGGCCGTGTTGGTGGTGTTCACAATGGCCGTGTTGGTGGTGTTAACAATGGCCATGTTGGTGGTGTTCACAATGGCCATGTTGGTGGTGTTCACAATGGCCGTGTTGGTGGTGTTTACAATGGCCGTGTTGGTGGTGTTTACAATGGCCGTGTTGGTGGTGTTAACAATGGCCATGTTGGTGGTGTTCACAATGGCCGTGTTGGTGGTGTTTACAATGGCCGTGTTGGTGGTGTTTACAATGGCCGTGTTGGTGGTGTTTACAATGGTCGTGTTGGTGGTGTTCACAATGGCCGTGTTGGTGGTGTTCACAATGGCCGTGTTGGTGGTGTTTACAATGGCCGTGTTGGTGGTGTTTACAATGGCCGTGTTGGTGGTGTTCCCAATGGCCGTGTTGGTGGTGTTAACAATGGCCATGTTGGTGGTGTTCACAATGGCCATGTTGGTGGTGTTCACAATGGCGGTGTTGGTGGTGTTTACAATAGCCGTGTTGGTGGTGTTTACAATGGCCGTGTTGGTGGTGTTAACAATGGCCATGTTGGTGGTGTTCACAATGGCCGTGTTGGTGGTGTTTACAATGGCCGTGTTGGTGGTGTTTACAATGGCCGTGTTGGTGGTGTTTACAATGGTCGTGTTGGTGGTGTTCACAATGGCCGTGTTGGTGGTGTTCACAATGGCCGTGTTGGTGGTGTTTACAATGGCCGTGTTGGTGGTGTTTACAATGGCCGTGTTGGTGGTGTTTACAATGGTCATGTTGGTGGTGTTCACAATGGCCGTGTTGGTGGTGTTCACAATGGCCGTGTTGGTGGTGTTCACAATGGCCGTGTTGGTGGTGTTTACAATGGCCGTGTTGGTGGTGTTCACAATGGCTGTGTTGGTGGTGTTTACAATGGCCGTGTTGGTGGTGTTCACAATGGTCGTGTTGGTGGTGCTCACAATGGCCGTGTTGGTGGTGTTCACAATGGCCGTGTTGGTGGTGCTCACAATGGCCGTGTTGGTGGTGTTTACAATGGCCGTGTTGGTGGTGTTCACAATGGTTGTGTTGGTGGTGCTCACAATGGCCGTGTTGGTGGTGTTCACAATGGCCGTGTTGGTGGTGCTCACAATGGCCGTGTTGGTGGTGTTCACAATGGTCGTGTCGGTGGTGCTCACAATGGCCGTGTTGGTGGTGTTCACAATGGCCGTGTTGGTGGTGTTCACAATGGCCGTGTTGGTGGTGCTCACAATGGCCGTGTTGGTGGTGCTCACAATGGCCGTGTTGGTGGTGTTCACTATGGCCGTGTTGGTGGTGTTCACAATGGCCGTGTTGGTGGTGTTCACAACGGCCGTGTTGGTGGTGTTCACTATGGCCGTGTTGGTGGTGTTCACTATGGCCGTGTTGGTGGTGCTCACAATGGCCGTGTTGGTGGTGTTCACAACGGCCGTGTTGGTGGTGTTCACTATGGCCGTGTTGGTGGTGTTCACAATGGCCGTGTTGGTGGTGTTCACTATGGCCGTGTTGGTGGTGTTTACAATGGCCGTGTTGGTGGTGTTCACAATGGCCGTGTTGGTGGTGTTCACTATGGCCGTGTTGGTGGTGTTCACAATGGCCGTGTTGGTGGTGTTCACAATGGCCGTGTTGGTGGTGTTTACAATGGCCGTGTTGGTGGTGTTCACAATGGCCGTGTTGGTGGTGTTCACTATGGCCGTGTTGGTGGTGTTCACTATGGCCGTGTTGATGGTGTTCACTATGGCCGTGTTGGTGGTGTTCACTATGGCCGTGTTGGTGGTGCTCACAATGGCCGTGTTGGTGGTGTTCACAATGGCCGTGTTGGTGGTGTTTACAATGGCCGTGTTGGTGGTGTTCACAATGGCCGTGTTGGTGGTGTTCACTATGGCCGTGTTGGTGGTGCTCACAATGGCCGTGTTGGTGGTGTTCACAATGGCCGTGTTGATGGTGTTCACAATGGCCGTGTTGGTGGTGTTCACAATGGCCGTGTTGGTGGTGTTCACAATGGCTGTGTTGGTGGTGTTCACAATGGCCGTGTTGGTGGTGTTAACAATGGTCGTGTTGGTGGTGCTCACAATGGCCGTGTTGGTGGTGTTCACTATGGCCGTGTTGGTGGTGCTCACAATGGCCGTGTTGGTGGTGTTTACAATGGCCGTGTTGGTGGTGTTCACAATGGCCGTGTTGGTGGTGTTCACAATGGCCGTGTTGGTGGTGTTCACAATGGCCGTGTTGGTGGTGTTCACAATGGTCGTGTTGGTGGTGTTCACTATGGCCGTGTTGGTGGTGTTCACAATGGCCATGTTGGTGGTGTTCACAATGACCGTGTTGGTGGTGCTCACAATGGCCGTGTTGGTGGTGTTCACAACGGCCGTGTTGGTGGTGTTCACAATGGCCGTGTTGGTGGTGTTTACAATGGCCGTGTTGGTGGTGTTCACAATGGCCGTGTCAGACACAGCCATCGAACCCAGTGTCTCTGACACGGCCATTGTGAACCCCCTGAGGGAGAGAGAGACACCCAGACCCAGGGCTCCAACCCAGACTCTCAGTGTCTCTGACACGGCCATTGTGAACCCCCTGAGAGAGAGAGGCACCCAGACCCAGGGCTCCAACCCAGACTCTCAGTGTCTCTGACATGGCCATTGTGAATTCTCTGAGAGAGAGAGACACCCAGGCCCAGGGCTCCAACCCAGACTCTGAGTGTCTCCGACACGGCCATCGTGAACCCCCTGAGAGAGAGAGAGACACCCAGACCCAGGGCTCTAACCCAACCTCTCAGTGTCTCTGACACGGCCATCGTGAACCCCCTGAGAGAGAGACACCCAGACCCAGGGCTCCAACCCAGACTCTCAGTGTCTCCGACACGGCCATCGTGAGCCCCCTGAGAGAGAGACACCCAGACCCAGGGCTCCAACCCAGACTCTCAGTGTCTCTGACACGGCCATCGTGAACCCCCTGAGAGAGAGAGAGACATCGAGACCCAGGGCTCTAACCCAGACTCTCAGTGTCTCTGACACGGCCATTGTGAACCCCCTGAGAGAGAGAGACCCAGACCCAGGGCTCCAGCCCAGGTCGGCATCCTTCAACAGATGTTGGCCATGAGCCCTCCCTCACCTTTGGGGCCCAGCTCCTCCTCTAATTGGTCGATGTTGGCCGGGTCCTCCGCTGATCCGCCAATCATTGGTGGGGAGGCAACTGCCGGTGGAGTATCATAAATTAACATAAATTAGTATAAATTACCGTAATGATTACCATTAGCAAAATTTGTGGTGATGTGTACTTGATGCTGATGATGCTGCTGATGATGCTGCTGATGATGATGCTGCTGATGATGCTGCTGACGATGATGCTGATGATGATGATGCTGCTGATAATGATGCTGCTGATAATGATGCTGCTGAAAATGCTGATGATGCTGATGATGATGCTGATGATGCTGATGATACTGATGATGCTGTTGATGTTCACCTTCGTCACTGGTGTCCATGGCATCCGCCTCTATCCTCCGAATGGAAGAATCTTCCAGTCCCATCAACGTGTACAGAGGCATCTGCATCATCATCATCAGCAACATCATCATCAGTAACATCATCACCAGCAACATCATCAGTAACATTATCACCAGCAACATCAACAGTAATATCATCACCAGCATCATCATCAACATCATCATCATCAGTAACATCATCATCATTTCATTATGAACCTCCTGAGAGAGAAAGAGACACTTAGACCCAGAGCTTGATCCCAGGAAGTCACACAGAGACCCATAGACTCACCACAGAGACCCATAGACTCATCACACAGAGATCCATAGACTCATCACACAGAGACCCATAGACTCATCACACAGAGACCCATAGACTCATCACACAGAGACCCATAGACTACTCACAGAGACCCATAGACTCACCACAGAGACACATAGACTCACATAGAGACCCATAGACTCACCACACAGAGACCCATAGACTCACCACACAGAGACCCATAGACTCATCACACAGAGACCCATATACTCATCACACAGAGACCCATAGACTCATCACACAGATACCCATAGACTCATCACACAGATACCCATAGACTCATCACACAGAGACCCATAAACTCATCACACAGAGACACATAGACTCATCACAGACACCCATAGACTCATCACACAGAGACCCATAGACTCATCACACAGAGACCCATAGAATCATCACACAGAGACCCATAAACTCACCACGGAGACCCATAGACTCATCACACAGAGACCCACAGACTCATCACACAGAGACCCATAGACTCATCACACATAGACCCATAGACTCATCACAGAGACCCATAGACTCATCACACAGAGACCCATAAACTCACCACAGAGACCCATAGACTCATCACACAGAGACCCACAGACTCATCACACAGAGACCCGTAGACTCATCACACAGAGACCCATAGACTCATCACACAGAGACCCATAGACTACTCACAGACACCCATAGACTCATCACACAGAGACCCATAGACTCATCACACAGAGACCCATAAACTCACCACAGAGACCCATAGACTCATCACACAGCGACCCATAAACTCATCACACAGAGACCCATAAACTCACCACAGAGACCCATAGACTCATCACACAGAGACCCACAGACTCATCACACAGAGACCCGTAGACTCATCACACAGAGACCCATAGACTAATCACACAGAGACCCATAGACTACTCACAGAGACCCATAGACTCATCACACAGAGACCCATAGACTCATCACACAGAGACCCATAGACTCATCACACAGAGACCCACAGACTCATCACACAGAGACCCGTAGACTCATCACACAGAGACCCACAGACTCACCACACAGAGACCCACAGACTCACCACACAGAGACCCATAGACTCACCACACAGAAACCCATAGACTACTCACACAGAGACACATAGACTACTCACACAAAGACCCACTACAAAAAGACCCACAGACTCATCACAGAGACCGATAGACTCATCACACAGAGACCCATATACTGTGCTAAACCGGGTCGCCTCTAGGTCCGCTCAGCCTGAACGAGGTCACTCACACTCGCAGGGCGGGGGTAGCCATTGTCGGTGTCCTTGGCCTCCTCGTGGGAGTCGAGGGAGCTGCAGGGTGAGCTCACCACGGCCGCTGCGGAGAGACAAAGGTGGGTGAGAGTGGGTGGGTGAGTGGGTGAGTGTGTGGGTAGGTGAGTGGGTAGGTGGGTGGGTGGGTGAGTGGGTGGGTGAGTGGGTAGGTGGGTGAGAGTGGGTGAGAGTGGGTGGGTGAGAGTGGGTGGGTGAGTGGGTAGGTGGGTGAGAGTGGGTGAGAGTGGGTGGGTGAGAGTGAGTGGGTGAGTGGGTAGGTGGGTGAGAGTGGGTGAGAGTGGGTGGGTGAGAGTGGGTGGGTGAGTGGGTAGGTGGGTGAGAGTGGGTGGGTGAGTGTGTGGGTAGGTGAGTGGGTAGGTGGGTGGGTGGGTGGGTGAGTGAGTGGGTGGGTGAGTGGGTAGGTGGGTGAGAGTGGGTGAGAGTGGGTGGGTGAGAGTGGGTGGGTGAGTGGGTAGGTGGGTGAGAGTGGGTGAGAGTGGGTGGGTGAGAGTGGGTGGGTGAGTGGGTAGGTGGGTGAGAGTGGGTGGGTGAGTGGGTGAGTGTGTGGGTAGGTGAGTGGGTAGGTGGGTGGGTGGGTGAGTGAGTGGGTGGGTGAGTGGGTAGGTGGGTGAGAGTGGGTGAGAGTGGGTGGGTGAGAGTGGGTGGGTGAGTGGGTAGGTGAGTGGGTGAGTGTGTGGGTAGGTGAGTGGGTGGGTGAGTGGGTGGGTAAGTGAGTGGGTGAGTGGGTGGGTGAGTGAGAGGATGAGTGGGTGGGTGAGTGGGTGGGTGAGTGGGTGGGTGAGTGAGTGGGTGAGTGAGTGGGTGAGTGGGTGGGTGAGAGGGTGAGTGGGTGGGTGAGTGGGTGGGTGAGTGGGTGGGTGAGTGAGTGGGTGAGTGGGTGGGTGAGTGAGTGAGTGGGTGAGTGGGTGGGTGAGTGGGTGGGTGAGTGTGTGGGTGAGTAAGTGGGTGAGTGGGTGGGTGAGTGTGTGGGTGAGTGGGTGGGTGAGTGGGTGGGTGAGTGTGTGAGTGAGTGTGTGGGTGAGTGGGTGGGTGGCTGGGTGGGTGAGAGTGGGTGGGTGAGTGGGTAGGTGAGTGAGTGGGTGAGTGTGTGGGTGAGTGCGTGGGTGGATTGGTGGGTGAGTGTGTGGGTGAGTGGGTGAGTGGGTGGATGGGTGGGTGAGTGAGAGTGGGTGAGTCGGTGGGTGGATGGGTGGGTGGCTGGCTGAGTAAGCAACTGGCTTAACGAGCGGCTGAGCGAGCGACTGGCTAAGTGAATGACTAGCTGGGCGAGCGACGGAGCTAGCGACTGACTGAGTGGCTGACTAAATGAGCGACTGACTGAGCGACTGACTGAGTAACTGGCTAAACGAGTGACTGACTGAGCGAGCGACTGACTGAGTGAGTGGCTGACTGAACGACTGACTGACTGAGCGGCTGACTGAGTGAGTGGCTGACTAAATGAGCGACTGACTGAGCGACTGACTGAGCGACTGACTGAGTGAGTGACTGGCTGAGCGAGCGACGGAGCGAGCGACTGACTGAGCGACTGACTGACTGACTGAGCGACTGACTGAGTGAGTGGCTGACTGAGTGACTGACTAAACGAGCGACTGGCTAGGCGAGCGAACGACTGAGCGAGCGACGGAGCGAGGGGCTGCTGAGCGAGTGACCAGCTGAGCGAGCGGCTGACTGAGCGACTGACTGAGCGAGCGACTGGCTGAGCGAGCGACTGGCTGAGTGACTGACTGAGCGAGCGACTGGCTGAGTGAGCGACTGGCTGAGCGAGCGACTGGCTGAGTGGCTGGCTGAGCGAGCGACTGGCTGAGCGAGCGGCTGGCTGAGCGAGCGACTGGCTGAGCGAGCGACTGGCTGAGCGAGCGACTGGCTGAGTGGCTGGCTGAGCGAGCGACTGGCTGAGCGAGCGGCTGGCTGAGCGAGCGACTGGCTGAGCGAGCGACTGGCTGAGCGAGCGGCTGGCTGAGCGAGCGACGGAGCGAGGGGCTGGCTGAGCGAGCGGCTGGCTGAGCGAGCGACTGGCTGAGTGGCTGGCTGAGCGAGCGGCTGGCTGAGCGAGCGACTGGCTGAGCGAGCGACTGGCTGAGCGAGCGGCTGGCTGAGCGAGCGACGGAGCGAGGGGCTGGCTGAGCGAGCGGCTGGCTGAGCGAGCGAGCGGCTGGCTGAGCGAGCAACGGAGCGAGGGGCTGGCTGAGCGAGCGACTGGCTGAGCGAGCGACTGGCTGAGCGAGCGGCTGGCTGAGCGAGCGACTGGTTGAGCGAGCGGCTGGCTGAGCGAGCGGCTGGCTGAGCGAGCGACTGGCTGAGCGAGCGACTGGCTGAGTGGCTGGCTGAGCGAGCGACTGGCTGAGCGAGCGGCTGGCTGAGCGAGCGACGGAGCGAGGGGCTGGCTGAGCGAGCGACTGGCTGAGCGAGCGGCTGGCTGAGCGAGCGACTGGCTGAGCGAGCGACTGGCTGAGTGGCTGGCTGAGCGAGCGACTGGCTGAGCGAGCGGCTGGCTGAGCGAGCGACGGAGCGAGGGGCTGGCTGAGCGAGCGACTGGCTGAGCGAGCGACTGGCTGAGCGAGCGGCTGGCTGAGCGAGCGACGGAGCGAGGGGCTGGCTGAGCGAGCGGCTGGCTGAGCGAGCGAGTGGCTGGCTGAGCGAGCAACGATGCGAGGGGCTGGCTGAGCGAGCGACTGGCTGAGCGAGCGACTGGCTGAGCGAGCGACTGGCTGAGCGAGCGACTGGCTGAGCGAGCGACTGGCTGAGCGAGCGACTGGCTGAGCGGGCGGCTGGCTGAGCGAGCGAGCGACTGGCTGAGCGAGCGACGGAGCGAGGGGCTGGCTGAGCGAGCGGCTGGCTGAGCGAGCGGCTGGCTGAGCGAGCGAGCGGCTGGCTGAGCGAGCGAGCGGCTGGCTGAGCGAGCAACGGAGCGAGGGGCTGGCTGAGCGAGCGACTGGCTGAGCGAGCGACTGGCTGAGCGAGTGGCTGGCTGAGCGAGCGAGCGGCTGGCTGAGCGAGCGACGGAGCGAGGGGCTGGCTGAGCGAGCAGCTGGCTGAGCGAGCGGCTGGCTGAGCGAGCGAGCGGCTGGCTGAGCGAGCGACGGAGCGAGGGGCTGGCTGAGCGAGGGGCTGGCTGAGCGAGCAACGGAGCGAGGGGCTGGCTGAGCGAGCGACTGGCTGAGCGAGCGAGCGGCTGGCTGAGCGAGCGACTGGCTGAGCGAGCGACTGGCTGAGCGAGCGACTGGCTGAGCGAGCGGCTGGCTGAGCGAGCGAGCGACTGACTGTGTGAGTGACGGAGCGAGTGGCTGGCTGAGCAAGCGACTGACTGAGCGAGGGGCTGGCTGAGCGAGCGGCTGGCTGAGCGAGCGAGCGACTGACTGAGCGAGTGACGGAGCGAGGGGCTGGCTGAGCGAGCGACCGGCTGAGCGAGGGGCCAGCTGAGCGAGGGGCTGGCTGAGCGAGCGACTAGCTGAGCGAGCGAGCGGCTGGCTGAGCGAGCGAGCGACTGGCTGAGCGAGCGGCTGGCTGAGCGAGCGACTGGCTGAGCGAGCGGCTGGCTGAGCGAGCGACTGGCTGAGCGAGCGGCTGGCTGAGCGAGCGAGCGGCTGGCTGAGCGAGCGACGGAGCGAGGGGCTGGCCGACTCACGCCTGGGGGGCGCGGCGCGCTCACTGAGCACGCGGTAGACTTTGTAGGGGTGACTGATGTCGGCCTGGCCCCGGGTGGCCTCCTCCATGAAGTCGCGGCTCTTGTTCATGGCACAGCGGAGCCGCGTCTTCCACCCCGGCGGGTCGGGCTTGTCCACCCCGGCACGGAAACGGCCTTTGTGTTCCGCCCACGCCTGGAGGAGGAGGAGGAGGGGGGAGGAGGGAGGAGGAGGGAGGAGGAGGGAGGAGGAGGAGGAGGAGGGAGGAGGAGGAGGAGGAGGAGGAGGAGGAGGAGGAGGAGGAGGGAGGAGGAGGGAGGAGGGAGGAGGAGGAGTTCAGTATTAACTCAACTAAATATGTTCTATCTTGTTCAGGGCCAGCCTAGCTCTAATCTCAGAGAGATTAAGATTGCTCCGATTTGAACTTGATTATTCAGACAAGGTTCTCTTACAATCACACTTAGAATTAACAGGAATGTCCACATCTGATTGGGACCATGTCGATAACATGATAGTTACTTCAGCTACTTCAATGTCAACCAAATGTAAAGTTAACAAGATTGTCATCAATCAGAGTAACATGTTAACAAGATTGTCATCAATCAGAGTAGCATGTTAACAAGATTGTCATCAATCATAGTAACATGTTAACAAGATTGTCATCAATCAGAGTAACATGTTAACAAGATTCTCATCATAGTAAAATGTTAACAAGATTGTCATCAATCATAGTAACATGTTAACAAGATTGTCATCAATCATAGTAACATGTTAACAAGATTGTCATCAATCATAGTAACATGTTAACAAGATTGTCATCAATCATAGTAACATGTTAACAAGATTGTCATCAATCATAGTAACATGTTAACAAGATTGTCATCAATCATAGTAACGTGTTAACAAGATTGTCATCAATCATAGTAACATGTTAACAAGATTGTCATCAATCATAGTAGCATGTTAACAAGATTGTCATCAATCATAGTAGCATGTTAACAAGATAGTCATCAATCATAGTAACATGTTAACAAGATTGTCATCAATCAGAGTAACATGTTAACAAGATTGTCATCATAGTAACATGTTAACAAGATTGTCATCAATCATAGTAACATGTTAACAAGATTGTCATCAATCATAGTAACATGTTAACAAGATTGTCATCAATCATAGTAACATGTTAACAAGATTGTCATCAATCATAGTAACATGTTAACAAGATTGTCATCAATCATAGTAACATGTTAACAAGATTGTCATCAATCATAGTAACATGTTAACAAGATTGTCATCAATCATAGTAACATGTTAACAAGATTGTCATCAATCATAGTAACGTGTTAACAAGATTGTCATCAATCAGAGTAACATGTTAACAAGATTGTCATCAATCATAGTAACATGTTAACAAGATTGTCATCAATCATAGTAACATGTTAACAAGATTGTCATCAATCATAGTAACATGTTAACAAGATTGTCATCAATCATAGTAACGTGCTAACAAGATTGTCATCAATCATAGTAACATGTTAACAAGATTGTCATCAATCATAGTAGCATGTTAACAAGATTGTCATCAATCATAGTAGCATGTTAACAAGATAGTCATCAATCATAGTAACATGTTAACAAGATTGTCATCAATCATAGTAACATGTTAACAAGATTGTCATCAATCATAGTAACATGTTAACAAGATTGTCATCAATCATAGTAACATGTTAACAAGATTGTCATCAATCATAGTAACATGTTAACAAGATTGTCATCAATCATAGTAACGTGTTAACAAGATTGTCATCAATCAGAGTAACATGTTAACAAGATTGTCATCAATCATAGTAACATGTTAACAAGATTGTCATCAATCATAGTAACATGTTAACAAGATTGTCATCAATCATAGTAACATGTTAACAAGATTGTCATCAATCATAGTAACGTGTTAACAAGATTGTCATCAATCATAGTAACATGTTAACAAGATTGTCATCAATCATAGTAGCATGTTAACAAGATTGTCATCAATCATAGTAGCATGTTAACAAGATAGTCATCAATCATAGTAACATGTTAACAAGATTGTCATCAATCAGAGTAACATGTTAACAAGATTGTCATCATAGTAACATGTTAACAAGATTGTCATCAATCATAGTAACATGTTAACAAGATTGTCATCAATCATAGTAACATGTTAACAAGATTGTCATCAATCATAGTAGCATGTTAACAAGATTGTCATCAATCATGGTAGCATGTTAACAAGATAGTCATCAATCATAGTAACATGTTAACAAGATTGTCATCAATCAGAGTAACATGTTAACAAGATTGTCATCATAGTAACATGTTAACAAGATTGTCATCAATCATAGTAACATGTTAACAAGATTGTCATCAATCATAGTAACATGTTAACAAGATTGTCATCAATCATAGTAACATGTTAACAAGATTGTCATCAATCATAGTAACATGTTAACAAGATTGTCATCAATCATAGTAACATGTTAACAAGATTGTCATCAATCATAGTAACATGTTAACAAGATTGTCATCAATCATAGTAACATGTTAACAAGATTGTCATCAATCATAGTAACGTGTTAACAAGATTGTCATCAATCAGAGTAACGTGTTAACAAGATTGTCATCAATCATAGTAACATGTTAACAAGATTGTCATCAATCAGAGTAACAGCCCAATTTCCAACAGCCTAAAATCGGTACTAGCTAAAGGGTTGAATTTCACAGTCACCCCTAAACACATCCCAGTGGATGATATAATATCCCAGTGGATGATATAATCTCCCAGGTCGACGTAGCCCTCAAAGGCTTGGGACACATCCCGGCAGACGTGGCTAGATCTGAAATCGCTGCTATCCTCAAAAACGCTAGGAAACCCATTAGCAACATCAGTAAGGACGAGTGTTTTGAACTCTCAATTAAAAAAAACAGAGATGACATTGTCATCCTCTCAGCCGACAAGGGCAATGCCACTGTCATCATGGATAAAACCACTTACAACAAAATTCAGGACCTTCTTAATGATGGCAGCTATACCAAAATCAACAGAGATCCCACCAACCGCCTAGCTACAAGAACCAACACTGTCATCACTCATTCCACTTCTCTTACCGATTCGTCCAAGCAGCTCTCTCTAAAACCTTCGGCTGCTAGACCGCCCAGATTTTATTGCCTTCCAAAGATCCACAAAGAAGCTACCCCGCTCCATCCAATCGTCTCCACCATCAACTCGCCCACCTACAAACTGGCCCCATTTCTATCTGAGACCCTGCTTCCTTTTACGGGCAAGACCACCTCAGCAGTACTTAACTCAGCCCACTTGGTTTCTCTCATGAAGGACATCTCACTGTCTCCAGATTAGTTGCTTGTCAGTTTCGATGTAGTCTCCCTGTTCACCAAGGTACCTGTACCTGACAGCATTGCAATCATTGAAGACTTGGTCCAACAGGGACTGAATCCAGATGTACCAACTTTGGTAAGGCACTGCCTTACCAGCACTCACTTCACCTGGAATGGTACATTCTACGAACAAAATTAAGGTACCCCAATGGGTTCTCCCTTATCGCCAGTGGTAGCGAATGTTTTCATGGAGAAATTTGAGACAGATGCCTTCCAGACATCCACCCTATGTCCTTCCATGTGGAAGAGATGCGTAGGTGACACGTTCGTCATTTGACCACATGGCCTGCCAGCACTGAACCAATTTCTCAACCACATCAATTCCATACACCCATCCATCAAATTCACCATGGAAAGGATGGCAAGCGACCATTCCTGGATGTTTTGCTCGAGAAGAGACCTGATGGCTCGTTGGGACACTCTGTCTACAGGAAAGCCACCCACACAGATGCCTATCTATAGCCTGACTCCCACCACCATCCAGCCCAGAAGAATGCCTTCATCAAAACACTACACAATAGGGCCCATTGCATCTCCGACCAGCACCACCTAGCCAGTGAGTTGGAGCACGCACACCAAGCTCTCAGGATGATATTCTGACCATACAATCCACAAAGCTGTCTGGCCAGCCATGGGGAGGCAACCATCTGAGGATCCAACCAATACCATCAAGATCCAGGTTCGTTTCAACACAGTACACAACATCCGTGATTTAATCCCATCTGTAAAGGATGTGATTCCTGACATGCAATACACGGGTGTCTGCAAACTGAGTTGTGGCTGCGGCAGCAGTAACATTGGGGAAATGAAATGACATGTTTCGGACCGCGTTCGTGAACACAAGGCAGATCTGAAACACGGTAGGACCAATACCTCTGCCGTTACTGATCATTGTTTTAACGCGGTGGGCTCACACGAAATAGATTTTTCCAAGACGGGGGTACTCTGCAAACCTACCGGCTACCCTCAGAGATTTGTTCATGAAGCCATCCAGATGTATAAACACAGACACAACTTCAACCGAGAAGATGGGTACAAACTGAGCAATCATTGGACGGACGTTATTAACCAGGTAAAGTCTTAACTGACTGTGATGTTTCCATCCTACCTGCCTATGTCAGCTGTTATTTCCGACTCTCTGCGTCTCTCTCTCTCTGTGCATCTCTCTCTCCGATCTATACTCCAGTGACCTTGGTGCTACCGCAGGGTCCACTGTCTGCCCCTCCTCCCCCCCCCCCCCTACTCGCTCCCCCCGACTGTCGAGGCCGCCTCTATAACCTCGTGCCACGGCAGACCTCTCGCCTACTTCAGCAGTTTTGTATTGCTGTGGTTGTCCCACCTGATGACGGTCGCTTGTGTTGCGATCGAAACGTCACGTGATCTATTATTTTTCTACCTACGTGGCTTTACCGAAAGAACCAAAGAGTATGAATATGTTCTGTGTCACAGGTGAGGCCCACTGAGCTCTATGGGGCTTTATCAGAAGCGACCTGCCCATCACAAACGCCAGCAGCTCATCGTCACGTGGAAATGTCGAGCAGCAGCCAAACACTCTGAACGCGTTGCGGCGTGGATTCTAAATGTGGAGGGGGGGGAACCGGAGGACCCGGAGACAAATCCACGCAGTGACCACCACGGGGAGAGAGACGCAGACTCCACATAGACCTCCTGTAGACCAGGCGAGGTATTTAACATCTCCTAGCCACCGTGATGATGATGAGAGAGAGACGGAGACTCCACGTAGACCTCCTGTGTACCAGGCGAGGTAGTCAACATCTCCTAGCCACTGTGATGATGATGAGAGAAACACAGACTCCACATAGACCTCCTGTAGACCAGGCGAGGTAGTCAACATCTCCTAGCAACTGTGATGATGATGAGAGAGACGCAGACTCCGCATAGACCTCCTGTATACCAGGCGAGGTAGTCAACATCTCCTAGCCACCGTAATGATGATGAGACACAGACTCCACATAGACCTCCTGTAGACCAGGCGAGGTAGTGAACATCTCCTAGCCACCGTGATGATGATGAGAGAGACACAGACTCCACATAGACCTCCTGTAGACCAGGCGAGGTAGTCAACATCTCCTAGCCACTGTGATGATGATGAGAGAGACGCAGACTCCACATAGGCCTCCTGTAGACCAGGCGAGGTAGTCAACATCTCCTAGCCACCGTGATGATGATGAGAGAGAGACGCAGACTCCGCATAGATCTCCTGTAGACCAGGCGAGGTAGTCAACATCTCCTAGCCACCGTGGTGATGATGATGATGAGAGAGACACAGACTCCACATAGACCTCCTGTAGATCAGGCGAGGTAGTCAACATCTCCTAGCCACCGTGATGATGATGAGAGACGCAGACTCCGCATAGACCTCCTGTATACCAGGCGAGGTAGTCAACATCTCATAGCCACCGTGGTGATGATGAGAGAGACGCAGACTCCGCATAGACCTCCTGTAGACCAGGCGAGGTAGTCAACATCTCCTAGCCACCGTGATGATGATGAGAGAGACGCAGACTCCACATAGACCTCCTGTGTACCAGGCGAGGTAGTCAACATCTCATAGCCACCGTGATGATGATGAGAGACAGACTCCACATAGGCCTCCTGTAGACCAGGCGAGGTATTTAACATCTCCTAGCCACCGTGATGATGATGATGATGAGAGAGACGCAGACTCCACATAGACCTCCTGTATACCAGGCGAGGTAGTCAACATCTCCTAGCCACCGTGATGATGATGAGAGAGAGACACAGACTCCACATAGACCTCCTGTAGACCAGGCGAGGTAGTCAACATCTCATAGCCACCGTGATGATGATGAGAGAGAGACACAGACTCCACATAGACCTCCTGTAGACCAGGCGAGGTAGTCAACATCTCCTAGCCACCGTGATGATGATGAGAGAGACGCAGACTCCACATAGACCTCCTGTAGACCAGGCGAGGTAGTCAACATCTCCTAGCCACCGTGATGATGAGAGACGCAGACTCCGCATAGACCTCCTGTAGACCAGGCAAGGTAGTCAACATCTCATAGCCACCGTGATGATGATGAGACACAGACTCCGCATAGACCTCCTGTAGACCAGGCGAGGTAGTCAACATCTCCTAGCCACCGTGATGATGAGAGACGCAGACTCCGCATAGACCTCCTGTAGACCAGGCAAGGTAGTCAACATCTCATAGCCACCGTGATGATGATGAGACACAGACTCCGCATAGACCTCCTGTAGACCAGGCAAGGTAGTCAACATCTCATAGCCACCGTGATGATGATGAGACACAGACTCCGCATAGACCTCCTGTAGACCAGGCGAGGTAGTCAACATCTCCTAGCCACCGTGATGATGAGAGACGCAGACTCCGCATAGACCTCCTGTAGACCAGGCAAGGTAGTCAACATCTCATAGCCACCGTGATGATGATGAGACACAGACTCCGCATAGACCTCCTGTAGACCAGGCGAGGTAGTCAACATCTCCTAGCCACCGTGATGATGATGAGAGAGAGACGCAGACTCCACATAGACCTCCTGTAGACCAGGCGAGGTAGTCAACATCTCCTAGCCACCGTGATGGTGATGAGAGAGACGCAGACTCCACATAGACCTCCTGTAGACCAGGCGAGGTAGTCAACATCTCCTAGCCACCGTGGTGATGATGATGATGAGAGAGACACAGACTCCACATAGACCTCCTGTAGACCAGGCGAGGTAGTCAACATCTCATAGCCACCGTGATGATGATGAGAGACGCAGACTCCACATAGACCTCCTGTATACCAGGCGAGGTAGTTAACATCTCCTAGCCACCGTGATGATGATGAGACACAGACTCCACATAGACCTCCTGTAGACCAGGCGAGGTAGTCAACATCTCCTAGCCACCGTGGTGATGATGATGATGAGAGAGACACAGACTCCACATAGACCTCCTGTAGACCAGGCGAGGTAGTCAACATCTCATAGCCACCGTGATGATGATGAGAGATGCAGACTCCACATAGACCTCTTGTATACCAGGCGAGGTAGTTAACATCTCCTAGCCACCGTGATGATGAGAGACGCAGACTCCGCATAGACCTCCTGTAGACCAGGCAAGGTAGTCAACATCTCATAGCCACCGTGATGATGATGAGACACAGACTCCGCATAGACCTCCTGTAGACCAGGCGAGGTAGTCAACATCTCCTAGCCACCGTGGTGATGATGAGAGAGACGCAGACTCCACATAGACCTCCTGTAGACCAGGCGAGGTAGTCAACATCTCATAGCCACCGTGATGATGATGATGAGAGAGAGACGCAGACTCCACATAGACCTCCTGTAGACCAGGCGAGGTAGTCAACATCTCATAACCACTGTGATGATGATGAGACACAGACTCCACATAGACCTCCTGTAGACCAGGCGAGGTAGTCAACATCTCCTAGCCACCGTGATGATGATGAGAGAGACACAGACTCCACATAGACCTCCTGTAGACCAGGCGAGGTAGTCAACATCTCCTAGCCACCGTGATGATGATGAGAGAGAGACGCAGACTCCACATAGACCTCCTGTAGACCAGGCGAGGTAGTCAACATCTCCTAGCCACCGTGATGATGATGAGAGAGAGACGCAGACTCCACATAGACCTCCTGTAGACCAGGCGAGGTAGTCAACATCTCCTAGCCACTGTGATGATGATGAGAGAGAGACGCAGACTCCACATAGACCTCCTGTAGACCAGGCGAGGTAGTCAACATCTCCTAGCCACCGTGATGATGATGATGAGAGAGAGACGCAGACTCCACATAGACCTCCTGTAGACCAGGCGAGGTAGTCAACATCTCATAACCACTGTGATGATGATGAGACACAGACTCCACATAGACCTCCTGTAGATCAGGCGAGGTAGTCAACATCTCCTAGCCACCGTGATGATGATGAGAGACGCAGACTCCGCATAGACCTCCTGTAGACCAGGCGAGGTATTTAACATCTCCTAGCCACCGTGATGATGATGAGAGAGACGCAGACTCCACATAGACCTCCTGTAGTCCAGGCGAGGTAGTCAACATCTCCTAGCCACCGTGATGATGATGAGAGAGAGACACAGACTCCACATAGACCTCCTGTATACCAGGCGAGGTAGTCAACATCTCATAGCCACCGTGATGATGATGAGAGAGAGACGCAGACTCCACATAGACCTCCTGTAGACCAGGCGAGGTAGTCAACATCTCATAGCCACCGTGATGATGATGAGAGACACAGACTCCACATAGACCTCCTGTAGACCAGGCGAGGTAGTCAACATCTCATAGCCACCGTGATGATGATGAGAGACACAGACTCCACATAGACAGCAGCAGGCGTCGTCAGGGTCGGGATGGAGCCCAGGCCGGCCACACCGGCCGTGGCCGTGCGGGGCCCCCCGGCCCCCCGGCCCCCCGGCCCCCCGGCCCCCGGCCCTCCTCACCCTGAAGAGGGCCGAGTCGGCGTCCGTGTAGTCGTGCTTGGACGCGTGCTTCCACGGCAGGCGGAAGAGCGAATGGCCGGTGCCCTCCTCCCAGCGCAGGCCGGGGTAGCGGCCGCTGTCCACCTGCTCCAGCAGCCACGCCTTGAGGCCCTTGCGGCCTCGCCTCGACGACGACGAGGAGGCGGAGGAGCAGGAGGCGGAGGAGGCGGAGGAGGAGGCGGAGGCCCTCATGGTCACGCCACCGCCTTCGTCTCTCCCACTGGGCGGGGGGTGGGGGAGAGGTTCGCGATGCGCTCCGTGAGCGCTCGGCAATGAACTGCTTCAGTACGATACGGTACGGTACGTGGTACGTGATACGGTACGTGGTACGTGGTATGGTACGCGGTACGGTACGGTATGTGGTACGGTACGCGGTACGGTACGTGGTATGGTACGTGGTACGTGGTATGGTACGGTACGTGGTACAGTACGCGGTACGGTACGTGGTACGGTACGGTACGTGGTACGGTACGCGGTACGGTACGTGGTACATTACGCGGTATGGTACGGTACGTGGTATTGTACGGTACAATACGGTACGCGGTATGGTACGGTACGGTACGCGGTACGGTACATGGTACAGTACGCGGTACGGTACGCGGTACGGTACGTGGTACGGTACGTGGTACGGTACGGTACGTGGTATGGTACGGTACGTGGTACGGTACGTGGTATGGTACGGTACGTGGTACGGTACGTGGTATGGTACGTGATATGGTACGGTACGTGGTACGGGACGTGGTACAGTACGGTACGTGGTACGGTACGTGGTACGGTACGCGGAATGGTACAGTACGGTACGCGGCACGGTACATGGTACAGTATGCGGAATGGTACAGTACGGTACGCGGCACGGTACATGGTACAGTACGCGGAATGGTACAGTACGGTACGCGGCACGGTACAGGGTACAGTACGGTACGCGGCACGGTACATGGTACAGTACGGTACACGGCACGGTACATGGTACAGTACGCGGAATGGTACAGTACGGTACGCGGCACGGTACATGGTACAGTACGGTACGCGGCACGGTACATGGTACAGTACAGTACGCGGAATGGTACAGTACGGTACGCGGCACGGTACATGGTACAGTATGGTACGCGGCACGGTACATGGTACAGTACGGTACGCGGAATGGTACAGTACGGTACGCGGCACGGTACATGGTACAGTATGGTACGCGGCACGGTACATGGTACAGTACGGTACGCGGAATGGTACAGTACGGTACGCGGCACGGTACATGGTACAGTACGCGGCACGGTACATGGTACAGTACGGCACGCGGCACGGTACATGGTACAGTACGGTACATGGTACAGTACGGTACGGTACATGGTACAGTACGGTACGCGGCACGGTACATGGTACAGTACGGTACGCGGCACGGTACGTGGTACAGTACGAGGAGCAATGCTCCATGGAGCGGCTGCCCGGGTGAGTCGCTCAGCGCGTTTCCCTTCACGACCACAGGCGGCGTTTCAGGCAACGGGCCTTCTTGAGGGCACGCAGTTCGAGGGTGGGGGTTGCCAAAGAATTGGACAATTGGCGCATCGTCACGGATTGTCGATTCACTGACGAAGAAACTGAACTGCCACCTGTCATCACCATCATCATCACCATCATCATCACCATCATCATCACCATCATCATCACCATCTTCATCATCATCATCACCATCATCACCATCATCATCACCATCATCATCTTCATCATCACCATCATCATCATCTTCATTATCACCATCATCACCATCATCATCACCATTATCATCATCATGATCATCACCATCATCACCATCATCACCATCTTCATCATCACCATCATCATCACCATCATCATCATCACCATCATCATCACCATCATCATCACCATCATCACCATCATCATCACCACCATCAGGCGAGGTAGTTAACATCTCCTAGCCACCGTGATGATGATGAGAGAGATGCAGACTCCACATAGACCTCCTGTACACCAGGCGAGGTAGTTAACATCTCATAGCCACCGTGATGATGATGATGAGAGAGAGATGCAGACTCCACATAGACCTCCTGTACACCGGGCGAAGTAGTCAACATCTCATAGCCACCGTGATGATGATGAGAGACGCAGACTCCACATAGACCTCCTGTAGACCAGGCGAGGTAGTCAACATCTCATAGCCACTGTGATGATGATGAGAGAGACACAGACTCCACATAGACCTCCTGTGTACCAGACGAGGTAGTCAACATCTCCTAGCCACTGTGATGATGATGAGAGAGACACAGACTCCACATAGACCTCCTGTATACCAGGCGAGGTAGTCAACATCTCCTAGCCACCGTGATGATGATGAGAGAGACGCAGACCCCACATAGACCTCCTGTATACCAGGCGAGGTAGTGAACATCTCCTAGCCACTGTGATGATGATGAGAGAGAGACGCAGACTCCACATAGACCTCCTGTAGACCAGGCGAGGTAGTCAACATCTCCTAGCCACTGTGATGATGATGAGAGAGAGACGCAGACTTCACATATACCTCCTGTAGACCAGGCGAGGTAGTCAACATCTCATAGCCACTGTGATGATGATGAGAGAGAGACACAGACTCCACATAGACCTCCTGTAAACCAGGCGAGGTACTTAAAAGAAAATCAGCAGACTACCTGGTGGATCTCCTCACTGTTTCGAAGAGCAAAAGTGACCTAAGGCTCATTACCAGCTTCACATTCCTCATTGCCGTACAAATACTTTTTGGAAGGGCCTTTTATATTGATGCCACCAGGGTCTGGAATGCTATTGCCAATAAACTGCTGTACACCCCTAGCTGCCACTGCTATTCAGTATGGCCTGAAATCCAATGTATCGTTCCGGATGACCGCTGAAAAAGTGAGATCTTGAGTTTTGATTTTAGTGTGTTGATCTTTAAAGGTGCATTGAAAAAATGTTGATTCTGCTACTGATACTCCTGCTGTTATGGACTCATGCAGCCAATCATGGCTGTAGATATCGTTTATTGTTAAATTTGAATCACAGTTCCTATGATCACTGTTACATTGTTTTTTTATAATTTTATTTTGGTGAATTTGAAAACGTTTTGGTTAAGCCATGTTTGTTTGTTGTAGTACAGAGTTAGCCTGATAACTTGAATCTACATCGTCTTATGGGTGTTATTGTTTGACTTGCATCCCACTGGGATTTTTGCACACAGCGTTAATATACGGTGCTTTTTCTCGAAGACTTTGCTGTTTTTTTCCTGGATCTTTCTGTTGCGGGTAGTCACTTTAAGACAAGGCCATAGCCATGGAGTCAAGATTGGGGGGGGCCCAAATCTTCCAGGGCCCCCCCCCCCCCAGAAAACAATCCGCAACCCTTCCTCTTGCTCACGACGACACTCACCGTGAATGAAAGCCCACGGTAATAAAACTGCTTGCACGTTCATCAGTGCAACGCTAATAAGGCAAATACATCTGTACACTCCACTATACGAATAAGCAATGAATGAAAGCTACCACAAACATGACGAATGCAGCGCACCATAAATGATTGACACTTGACCGAGGCTTTCATGACAAATATAACTTTAATTAAGACATTCGCGTGAGTTCAAATCGCCCGTGGGCGTAACTGCTGGACGCTGGGGTGAATGTGTGGCTAATTCACTTTCCAAATAGTTGATTGATTAGCGGGCAGTGTAGCGGTTAGCGCGCTGCGCTATGAACTTGGTGACTCGGGTTCGATTCCCGCTCACGGCCAACACCAGTGACGATTATCTGAACCGGTCCTGGGCCTCCCCTAGGTCGACTCAGCCTCAAATGAGTACCTGGTGCGGTGCATAAAAACATTGCCACTGGGGAGACTAAGGCGGTCGGGCGTGGTGCTGGCCACCCACCCCCTCGTGTACCGTTCCGGCCTTCAAAGGTGCTCGCAAACAGCACTTGCCCCTACAGTCTGTTAAGACTATACGGGGGATCTTTATCTTTGTAGGTGTGTGCGTAGGTGTGTGCGTAGGTGTGTGCGTAGGTGTGGTGTGTGTGTGTAGGTGCGTGTGTGTGTACCACCTGCAGTGGAGATTCTCTTGAGACGTCGCCTCTCTCGCCTCGTGCGTTCAGTGCTGGGCAGAGTGAGAGCGTGAGTCTGTGTGTAGTGTGTATATATAGTGGGTGGGTGTGTGTATATATAGTGTGGGTGTGTAGTGTGTGGGTGTGTGAGACTCTGTGTGTGTGTGAGATGTGTGTGTGAGACTCTGTGTGTGTGTGACACTCTGTGTGTGTGTGACACCCTGTGTCTCTGTGTGTGTGTTTGTGTGTGGCTCTGTGTGTGTGACACTGTGTGTGTGTGTCTCTGTGTGTGTGTGTGACACTCTCTGTGTGTGTGACAACCTGTGTGTCTCTGTGTGTGTCTCTGTGTGTGGCTCTGTGTGTGTGGCTCTGTGTGTGTGACACTGTGTGTGTGACACTGTGTGTGTGTCACTCTCTGTGTGTGACACTGTGCGTGTCTCTGTGTATGTGTGTGTCTCTGTGTGGGTGTCTCTCTGTGTGTGTATCTCTGTGTGTGTGACACTCTGTGTGTGTGTCACTCTGTGTGTGTCTGTGTGTGTCTGTGTGTGTGTCTGTGTGTGTGTCTGTGTGTGTCTGTGTGAAACTCTGTGTCTGTGTGTGTGTCTCTGTGTGTCTGTGTGAAACTCTGTGTCTGTGTGTGTGTCTCTGTGTGTCTGTGTGAAACTCTGTGTCTGTGTGTGTGTCTGTGTGTGTCTGTGTGAAAATCTGTGTCTGTGTGTGTGTCTGTGTGAAACTCTGTGTCTGTGTGTGTGTCTCTGTGTGTCTGTGTGAAACTCTGTGTCTGTGTGTGTGTCTCTGTGTGTCTGTGTGAAACTCTGTGTCTGTGTGTGTGTCTGTGTCTCTGTGTGTCTGTGTGAAACTCTGTGTCTGTGTGTGTGTCTGTGTGAAACTCTGTGTCTGTGTGTGTGGCTGTGTGAAACTCTGTGTCTGTGTGTGTCTCTGTGTGTCTGTGTGAAACTCTGTGTCTGTGTGTGTGTCTGTGTGTGTCTGTGTGTGTCTGTGTGAAACTCTGTGTCTGTGTGTGTGTCTGTGTCTGTCTGTGTGAAACTCTGTGTCTGTGTGTGTCTGTGTGAAACTCTGTGTCTGTGTGTGTCTGTGTGAAACTCTGTGTCTGTGTGTGTCTGTGTGTGTGTCTGTGTGTGTGTCTCTCTGTGTCTGTGTGAAATTACCCCTCTCCTCCCCTCTCTGAGTGGGCGTCAGTTTTTCAACGGAACGATTCTCAGAAACCACGTGACCACAACCGAGAAGCCACCCCCTCATTATGCAAGCCCCGCCCAACCATTCGACTAGCCCTGCCCACTGGTTAGATCAGGCCACCACCAATTATATTATGAACACGCCACTCAACACATTTGTCAATGACCTACCAACTCACTCAGCCACTCACCAACTCACTCAGCCACCCACTCAGCTACTCACTCACTCAGCCACTCACCCACTCACTCAGCCACTCACTCACTCAGCCTCTCAGCCACTCACTCAGCCTCTCACTCACTCAGCCACTCACTCAGCCACTCACCCACTCAGCCACTCACTCACTCAGCCACTCACTCACTCAGCCACTCATTCACCCACTCACTCACCCACTCACTCAGCCTCTCATTCACTCAGCCACACACCCACTCACTCACCCACTCAGCCACACAGCCACTCACCCACTCACTCACCAACTCACTCACCCACTCACTCACCAACTCACTCACCCACTCACTCACCCACTCACTTAGACACCCACTCACTTAACCACTCACCCACTCACTCAGCCTCTCACTCACTCAACCACTCACCCACTCACTCACCCACTCAGCCACTCACCCACTCACTCACTAACTCACTCAGCCACTCACTCACTCAGCCACTCACCCACTCACTCAGCCACTCAGACACTCAGCCACTCACCCACTCACTCAGCCACTCACTCACTCAGCCACTCACTCACTCAGCCACTCACTCAGCCTCTCAGCCACTCACTCACCCATTCCTTCACACACTCACTCAGCCACTCACTCACCCACGCACTCAGCCACTCAGCCACTCACCCACTCACTCACCCACTCACTCAGCCACTCACCCACTCACTCACTCAGCCACTCACTCACTCAGCCACTCACTCAGCCTCTCAGCCACTCACTCACCCACTCCTTCACCCACTCACTCAGCCACTCACCCACGCACTCAGCCACTCAGCCACTCACCCACTCACTCAGCCACTCACCCACTCACTCACCCACTCACTCAGCCACTCACTCACTCATCCACTCACTCAGCCTCTCAGCCACTCACTCACTCAGCCACTTACCCACTCACTCACCCACTCACTCATTCAACCGCTCAATCATTCACTCACTCACTCACTGACCCACTCACTCACTGACGCACTCACTCTGTGTGTATGTATCTTTGTGTGAGTGTGTGTATCTGTGTGTGTGTCTCTGTGTGTATCTGTGTATCTATGTGTGTGTATCTGTGTGTGTAGTGGGGAGCGATAGTGTAGCGGTTAGCGCGCTGCGCTATGAACCTGGCGACCCGGGTTCGATTCCCGCTCACGGCCAACACCAGTGACAATTATCTGAACCGGTCCCGGGCCTCCCCTAGGTCGACTCAGCCTCAAATGAGTACCTGGTGCTGTGTGTAAACATTGCCACTAGGGAGACAAAGGCGGTCGGGCGTGGTGCTGGCCACCCACCCCCTCGTGTACCGTTCCGGCCTTCATAGGTGCTCACTAACAGCACTTGCCCCTACAGTCTGTTAAGGCTATACGGGGGATCTTTGTCTTTGTCTTTGTATCTGTGTGTGTATGTGTGTCATCCCTGTACACCTTGGGGTGCGACAGGGATGTCCTCTGGCTCCCACATTATTTAACATCTATTTTGACCACGTAGTTCGTGAAGCCTTCAATAGCTGTACCGGGGGAATCTCCATATGGTACAGATATAATGGGAGGCTAATCGATGCCCGGGTGCGGTCAAGGGATGGCTCCCTATTGCTCAACCACGTTATGTATGCTGATGATTTGGTAATAGCTGCTCAGTCAGAGGAGGAGTTGGAGACGCTGCTGCTGAGACTGGAGCGTGCCACTAAGAGGTGGGGCCTTACCATCAGCCCCACCAAAACTAAGCACCTGCCTGGGTATTTTGTACCATCGGACACTCCACCCCCACAACTCCCAATCGGTGATGGGGCAGTTGTGGAGAGAGTGGAGAGTTTCCCATACCTGGGCAGTGTGCTTATGACTGGCTCCAGTTTAACAGCAGAGGTCTCACTCCGAATCAGTCGAGCGGCAATATCTTTTCATCGGTTGCGTAACGCTGTGTGGAAGCTACCTGGTCTGTCGCTCCGCACTAAGCTTCAGGTCTTCTCGGCCACGGTCATTCCCTCCCTTCTCTACGCTTGCGAAACGTGGACCCCCCTAATGGAACATCTTCGCCGGTTAGAAACATTTAGGCTGACCTGCCTACGATCCATCCTGGGTTTAACCAGACTGGATTGTGTGAGGAGCTCACAAATCCTTGAAAGATCTGGGCAGGGTCCCATCGGTGAGCTCCTCCGGCAGGCAAGGCTGCGATGGCTGGGTCATGTAGCCCGCATGCCCAGCCACCGCATGCCGAAACAGCTTTTGTTTGGCCGGATTGAGGGGGCTAAGCGGGCGCGGCACGGGCTAGAGAAGAGATGGAGTGATGTGGTACAGGAGGACGTGGAGCTGAGTGGACTTGCCGATGACTGGTACCAGCGGTGTCAAGATCGGCCTCTGTGGAGGAGGCTCGTGAAGGATGCTACTGGGCAGTTGGAGGCAGTCGCCCTCCAACAACAACGGAGGGCGGAGGAGCGACGCTCACAACAGCGAGCGGAGCGCCGGGTGGCTAAAGCACAGCAGGTTGGCACAGTAGGGGGCACAGGTGGTGCATCAGCCAGTCATCTCAGTCAGTCGACCCGTGGCACCTGGGTCTGCCCCGTGACCTCCTGCCAGCGGGCGTTCGACACTTCACGTGGCCTCAGGGTGCACATAGCCTGGCACAAGCGTCGTGGTGACGTCACCGCCACTTAGTGGCGAATGGCGGTTGTTGTTGTTGTTGTGTATTTGTGTGTGTGTATCTGTGTGTGTATCTGTGTGTGTGTGTGTGTGTATCTGTGTGTGTATCTGTGTGTGTGTATCTGTGTGTGTATCTGTGTGTGTATGTGTGTATCTGTGTGTATGTGTGTGTGTATCTGTGTGTATGTATCTGTGTGTATGTATCTGTGTGTGTATCTGTGTGTGTATCTGTGTGTGTGTATCTGTGTGTGTATGTGTGTATCTGTGTGTATGTTTGTATGTATCTGTGTGTATGTATCTGTGTGTGTATCTGTGTGTATGTGCACGCTTGCATGATCGTGGGAACGCTGCAGGTATGAACAGCACAAACCGGACTTGCACATTGTAGAGAGGAAGTTGTGCATGTGTGTGTCTGTGTATCTGTGTGTGTGTATCTGTGTGTGTGTATCTGTGTGTGTGTATCTGTGTGTGTGTATCTGTGTGTGTGTATCTGTGTGTGTGTATCTGTGTGTGTGTGTATCTGTGTGTATCTGTGTGTGTGTATCTGTGTGTGTGTATCTGTGTGTGTATCTGTGTGTGTGTATCTGTGTGTGTGTATCTGTGTGTATATCTGTGTGTGTGTATATCTGTGTGTGTATATCTGTGTGTGTGTATCTGTGTGTGTGTATCTGTGTGTGTATCTGTGTGTGTGTGTGTGTATCTGTGTGTGTGTGTATCTGTGTGTGTCTGTGTATCTGTGTGTGTCTGTGTATCTGTGTGTGTGTATCTGTGTGTGTGTATCTGTGTGTGTATCTGTGTGTGTGTATCTGTGTGTGTGTATCTGTGTGTGTGTATCTGTGTGTGTGTATCTGTGTGTGTGTATCTGTGTGTGTGTATCTGTGTGTGTATTTGTGTGTGTGTATCTGTGTGTGTGTGTATCTGTGTGTGTGTATCTGTGTGTGTGTATCTGTGTGTGTATCTGTGTGTGTGTATCTGTGTGTGTGTATCTGTTTGCGTGTATCTGTGTGTATCTGTGTGTGTGTATCTGTGTGTGTATCTGTGTGTGTATCTGTGTGTGTGTATCTGTGTGTGTGTGTATCTGTGTGTGTGTGTGTATCTGTGTGTGTGTATCTGTGTGTGTGTATCTGTGTGTAT